GGAAGATGGTACCACTCGTAAGATTTGAAAACCCCTGCACTGACAGTGATTTTGCGATGTGCCAATGTAGGAGAGGAAATTGAAAATCGTGGACTTCGATCAATTTCATCGTGGAGTACTGAGCAAAGAACAAAGCGCAGCTTCTCTGCACCTCGGTTTTGGATGCAATGGTCCGCTTAACTGGCCACTTTATTTTACCGCAATAGCAGTTAACTTAATTTTGTGAAATAGATGCTTTTGGCGCAATTTCGGATTTAAGGGAGATATAGTGTAGGCAAATCTGATAGCTGAACAGTAGACTCCGGAAGAGTGTCACTGGAATACGTAGCATATAATTTTGAATTAGTGAGATGGTTTGGACAATATTCAGAGAAACAGAAAGTCCTAGGAGATAAAAAGAATTATGCTTAATGGGAATAATCAGCAGTATTCCAAAATTTGTTAGTATAGAATCGGGTGCATCGGCGCAACCTTGGATACATTAACTCTACAGAAGGCTACCCAAATGGAGTGGGGACGTATATTCCCTACTACAACAACTCACCGATGTTACTACTTTAGCGTATGTAATTGGCTGTTTGCCCATTATTTTAGAAGTCCAAGAATTAAATTTGAACCTTCTCAACTGAATGTAGAACATTATAGCTCATGAGCAAATCCAAATATCAAACTTGATAAACCAGTTACATAAAAGCAGAGATTACCATGTTTGTAGTCATTCATCGATTGCGCGGCGGCTTTGGGCATTGGCTTTAGGACGTCTTTTGGCCCAAATTTCACTCCATAAATTGACAGGCAAACAAGCCAAAGGATTACAGGAAAAAGGGTATTCTGCTTTGGGAAGTTGCTTTAAAAGATAAAAACCGCCCTCCTGCACTTATTCTTTCAAATAGCTTTTAGACTCGAAATATGAACAATTCTTCCTTAGAGGAGCCTTATTTAACGCCTAGTTTTGCCAATAGAAGAGAAAAAATTGCCGAATTCTAGAAAGTAAACATTTAGACTAAGCGAAACCTCTTTTATAAATCATAATATAGCATATAGAGGAGCGATTGCCCTGACCTATGCCCTCTTACGGCTGCCGAAAATGATCTAGGTGTGGAATAAATCAAGTGCATCAGGGGTGAGTGTGGACCAATAACATCTTTTGTTTGATGCGTTTGGCATCCCCTATTCACCCACATGACCTATTTGCTGATGCAACTCTTGGAGAGTTGTTTGTATCTTTAACCCTGGGGCAACCAGGTGCATAGTAGACTCATCGCCTTTTGGAGTACAGTGAAAACTCATTCCAGTAAGAAAGACTACCATTCTTGCTGGTCGAGGTCATCTGTTTCGCTCTAGGTTTATGAAAAGTGAAAGCAACTCCTCGTACACTAGAGCCATGTCAGGATCTATACCCTGCGTTTTTCACCAATGATGTTTATCGGGCTCCCCAAAGAATGTAGTGCCTAATAGAACACCACCTGATTCTACCTTAAATAATCTGCAATACCCAGTATCTGCATCACTATGCGTATTTCTTTTCCTGCAAGGCAATGTAAAATCGTGCTACTGCAATTTTTCGCCGTTTTACTTTGTGTATTAACTTCGCTATTTTTCAAAGACAAACTCAAAAATTACCAAGAATATTACAGATCACATTTGCCATCCCTTCGTTTGCATGCAGCTTACCGCATCCTTGAGGGCAAGGGCAAAGACTTCACAGCATTACGCATGGATATGTTGACTGTTGTGATTAACAGGCAGACATACTGAATTACATATATCTTAGTTTTTTTGAATTTGCAGATTTGACGGATAAAGCTGGTGATGAAACATTAAAAAACTGATTAGATTGCAGGTGACGGTTCAAGCAGGTTACTTACCGGAAAGTACAAAATTCAGGCATGGTACAACTGCAGCCCCTTAGATAGCTGATTGACTAGTATCACCAGGTGTGCAGTTATCGCAAAGGTTGTTTGAATGCATAGAGGCAGTATAGACGCACCTTTTGTTAACCCCTCTCGCGGAGAATATTACTATCTAATTTCGATGCTGTTCTAAGGAAGACTGATA